TTTAGCATTGCAGGGAGGGCTAGGCTGTAGGGAAAATACTAATTATGGTTCAGGGACTGTGAGACAGACTAGGCAGCAGGCTGCCTTCGCCAATGCCTGACAATAGCTGTGGTCAAATCTCAATCCTATGTTTCTCTTAAACTATTGATCTCATTAAACATACAAAATATCATTAGCCGTGACATCTTTCTATTGAATATCCCGTACTTTTTAATAGTATATATATAATTCCGTTCCGAAGATACACCATATGTATGATAATATTCTCAGAAACGAAATGTATTAAATTGCTTGCATGACTCTCTTCCAACACCACTGCCGAATTGGACACGAATTCTAGAACTAAGTGAGACGTCGTGTAGCTGTCGACATTCTTTTCAGAAAGTTTTAGAAACATCTGATTTAATCAATAAATTGTTGTATAAACGTTTGCGTTGGCAATGATGAGAATCAGACTCAATTCCACGAAGGACTTTCAATACACGTGGTAATCTTCTAATATCCGAAATCCATGTTCGACAAGATTGAGTTTCTATAGAGTTCCTGTGAGGTGAACGTATTCGCTTGAGTCCTATTATTGGCGGATTTATCGGTATAAACCGTGAACGCGCGCGTCTGTGGGCAAAGCCCAATACCTCTACGACGCATTTGGTTGCAGATTCTGTTAATGATTGAAGCCTAGTCTAATACCGACAATTATCATTTCGATTGTGTCTTGATAATGTAACAGTTCTGACAGTGTTATGAAACGTGATATACATTAATTTTCATATTCTTTCGTCAAAATCGGAACATTAACCCCGAAAAGCTGCAATTAAGTGTCCTACTTCCGAACATGCTAGGACTCAAAACATATACTGGACATGTTTTAAGAATAAATATATTCCGATATCTAATCATCGTATATTGGATGATAATACAGTTATGAAGTAGCATCATAGCCGACAGCAAGCAATCAAGTGTCCATCATACTCCCCAAAATACTTTTTGACAAATCCGATAAAGCGGCGTATTTACTATATTGATTATATTTCCAATCATTTGTTATTACTTTGTGTTTATATGTGGCAAATAAGCTCAAATGGTATTCACGACATGTATGACACCAGTACCGACAACAACACTGTTACTTGTTTACGCTGAATGGTGACGGGAGAGCCATATGTATGACTATAAACATGTTTACTCAGAATTTTAAGGGACGCGCATTATGTGTGACCATAGGATGTTTACTCAGAATCTTGAGGGCAGTGCCGTATGTGAAACCATAAACAGCTTTACTCTGAATGGTGACGCCAGCGCCATAAACATGTTTACTCTTAATGATAAGGGCATCGCCGTGTGTGTGACTATAGACATCTTCACACCGAATGGTGACAGCCGCGCAATAAGCATGTTTACTCTGAATGGTGACAGCCGCGCCATAAGCATGTTTACTCTTAATGATTAGGGCATCGCCGTATGTGTGACCATAAACATCTTTACACCGAATGGTGACGGCAGCGCCTTAAACATCTTTACTCTTAATGATAAGGGCATCGCCTTATGTGTGACCATAAACATCTTTACACCGAATGTGACGGCAGCGCCTTAAACTTGACTATTTTTTTGTTTACTCTTAATGAAACTTGACTATTTTTTTGTTTACTCTTAATGATAAGGGCATCGCCGTATGTGAAACCATAAACATGTTTACTCTGAATGGTGACGGCAGCGCCATAAGCGTGTTTACACCGAATGGTGATTGCAGCGCCATAAACATGTTTACTCTTAATGATAAGGGCATCGCCGTATGTGTGACCATAAACATCTTTACACCGAATGGAGACGGCAGCGCCTTAAACATGTTTACTCTTAATGATAAGGGCATCGCCGTATGTGTGCACTTAGACATATTTACTCTGAATGGTGACGGCGGCGCCTTAAACATGTTTACTCTGAATGGTGAAGGCAGCGCCATAAACATGTTTACTCTGAATGGTGACGGCAGAGAGTGTGACCATATGCATCTTCACACCGAATGGTGACAGCCGCGCCATTAACATATTTATCCTGAATGGTGACAGCCACGCCATAAACATGTTTACTCTGAATGGTGAGAGCAGCGCCATAAACATGTTTACTCTTAATGATAAGGGCATCGCCGTATGTGTGACTATAAACATCTTCACACCGAATGGTGACGGCAGCGCCATAAGCATGTTTACTCTGAATGGTGACAGCCGCGCCATAAGCATGTTTACTCTTAATGATAAGGGCATCGCCGTATGTGTGACTATAAACATCTTCACACCGAATGGTGACGGCAGCGCCATAAGCATGTTTACTCTGAATGGTGATGGCAGCGGGGCATGTGGGATTATTTAAGTATCACCGACATTATTAGTTTAAGGGTGAAGTACTGTTAGTTCGTCTTGCGTCGCATGGCCATTGGATGTAGCAAACGTAGGGTTACTTAAAAGTTTTGTTTCTTTGTCGATGATAAACAAAGTCACACAAAACAATTCATATCTCCAAAATGCATACTGCATGCGCCAAAATATACACATATATATTTATTATTGTGCGTTTATAGACAAACGTGTGTCTTTTTTATATAGCTACATTGTTCAAACCAGATCAACACCTTTGCACCTTTGCCTGGAGTCCCGACCCGCGCCTTTAATAATGTCAAAGCGATCTAAAACCAAACACGATAACACCATCAATATTTTCTTTGGGTCATATTTTCGAAATACCCATTACTTTACCTCCAGTTGAAAGCGCGTCAAAACCCTCATCACCAACACGACTTAGTTAACACTATCGACAAGATTTCCTCCAGTTTTGTCCGAGGATTGTCTTTGAAGATGGAGTTTGTCCAGGGAGCGTCTAGCGTTTCAGTATTTTCTATATACTGTGGAACGATTTCTGAAGATCCTACGTGTAATGTCGTCAGTATCGAATGAGGAATAGCGTATAAAAGTAATGAATATGTACTATACTTCAAGTTAATCGTAAACATCAGATTTTGTGAAATAACGTTTTTTGTGAAAATTAACTGGAATAATATCATCATGAGGATATTTGCTACATTCCTTCCTATCATTTGCTCGTATATCATCTTTAGGTTGCGTTATGATTATTAATGGATATTATATTATTGACTGTTTATCGATCATACCTACTGGATAATATTTTGTGCAACGACATTGAACGACAGTGCATAACGATGATACATTGTAGTGGCCTTTTCTTAATTGTTAATACATCTATTAGCATTTAGGAGCTCCACAAATAATAGAACATGTGTTTCGGTACTAAACCAAACAATGTATGTTTTCACTCGTTAGGGCCGATGGGTTATTTATATTCATGACCTTCATTGGTGTGACTGCTTGGAATGGGTACCTTTCATAGAGCATTGCTAATCAATATTAGGCTACTTTCCATTATCACACAGCTGATGTGTTTTTTTGGGGATATTCTAAGGCTGACATCACTGTGATACTGGTTACTTTGATCGTGATTCACTCGCCTCCAAATCTTTGAAAACGTGAAAATCCGAAAAATTGTATATAGACTAACATATGTTTCTTACATTCCAAGTCCATTCCACAGAGGTCTGTTTTGACGTTTATTATTCTTAGGAATGTGTCATTACAGAATATTCCATACAGTTTGTACAAATTGTTGTATATAGGTCTAGTTAGGCTATTGCTCATGTGATTATTCATTAAAATGCTGCTATAGTCCGTTTGGAATTTTATAAAAACAATTGCATTATGATAAAAACTTAAAGCAGGCACACAGGCACAAACATACACGCATACACGCATCCGACCCGGCATCAGCACCACAACTGTTAGCATTACCCATACGAACCCTTACCCACATATAGCCACATCACTACAAGCATGCAACATCTTAAGATTATTTCAAACCTGTAATCGATGTGGTATTTCAGTTCTCCCATTGAATGGACGACATGTTTGCCCATGGGATCTCTGTTCACAATATTTCCATCGATTTTCAAAACATTCACGTGTCTATTGTTGTCAACGATCAGTTCGGTTTACCCAGGCTGATATTCTCGCGAGGTAATAAACGTTTATGATGGTGTCACCTAATGCGGATTGTAATGTGTTTTTACCCAGGAGCAAAGCTGCAAATCAGTAAAACCTCTCCGTACAGTATCTTTCCCCAAGTTTAGAAGTTATGTGGATGTGTGATAAACAATTCGCGATGATGTTTATATTTTTAACGCATGCGTCCTTTTATTTACAATTTAGGACATACTTACATACATTTTAGGAATACTTGAAAATTCGTATCGGGTTTTCAGTTTGTACAATTAAAGCACATTAAATGTTCTGTAGTACACCGATTTTCGGTAAAACTTGTAGGCAATGGAATTGGAAATGCCTCAATGTGAGCAATAGTGTTGACGTGATTCCTATGTAAGTACACGACTAAACGACATTTGATCAGATAGACCGCAGTATGTTGTGTAAATATTTGGCGTAGTGCAATGTCATTACAAGCAGTTTAGAGAGCCAGACTTTCTTTTGTACATGAACACTCCTAAATACGTATATGTATTACACCACATTCAAACATATATTATGTCTTGCATATACAAATGTTCATATACCACTTCTCAGTAGTGTGTACAGGAACACACGTGAGGGTGCGTAGCACACGACATTTACACAGATAACCTGGTGTACAGTACAAATATACTCGCACCATATTCAATCATGTATTATCCACAATGTTAATGAGATTGGTTCGATGTTGAGATAGATGATTATATATTTATCTTTGGTTGAAATCTCTGTCTGTTTTGGGTGTGCTTAACCCTTTTGTGAAACAATATAATACCCTAATCTTCATAATTATTTAATTTTTGTCTCTTTCACTTTTTTACACCCTCACTTTCCACTGCCATTTGATAGATTATGAAGCCCTTAGTATTTTTTCTGAAGAGTCTCAACCTTATTCAAATTACAAATTCGTACCTTCTAGTTCCCGAATGCGGTGTCCATCAGTCTTGTAAGGCAATGTTCATGTGAGTACTAAGGACGCCCATACTGTTCTACTTGCCGCTGCTGGAACAGAGACACAAGTTCATCCAATATATCTTTCTTCATGTGATTCCAGTGAAAACTTTTGGGAAAATCTTCCAAACGACTACCAGAGTGCATAAAAGATGAAAGCTAGTCAACGATAGCTGTGTTTACACGGACAAATGTCAAAGGTATAATGAAGTCCAAATTAAGGAATAACACTTCTTCTTGCAGATGGTCAAACTTGCAAACGATCAATTGGCGATGTGAAACGCGCGGCTGTGTACGTCCACACTGGAGCGTTGATAAGCTCAACTGGTGGAGTTCTCGGCGTATCTATAATGGTGAACCAGTCTTGTATGTGCGGCCTGGTCACACGTCACCACGGTAGGGACACGTCAGTGGCGAAACACACACACAGGGGTGATGCTATACACACTAGTACAAACACGTTAATGTTGTGATTATTTTGTACATGTGTTCACAAGGTATGTGTGTCTGTTATCACATGCATACGGCACTCTGTTGTGTTGGATATATAGGCATTTTGGACCATCATATGGATAGTTCAAATATCAGCTCAGGCATACGAGGTGAGGTGAGGTGAGGTGAGGTGAAATGAGGTTTAACGTCGTACTTGAGAATATTTCGCTCATATGACGACGTGCATGCGTGTGTATGCGTGGCTGCTTGTACTAGCCCAGACTTAAGCTTGTTTTATAGTGCCAGCTCACTAAGATACCATGCCGCAGTGAAGCTTGAATACCCCATTCTGACATATTATACTGACTCCGAGCCGACCAGTCCTTGTTGTTCCCACTGAAGACGAGCGCCAGGCAGGAAACAACAAGTACCATATTTTAACGTCTTTAGGTGTGACACGGCCGGGGAACTCAGGCATACGTAATCCTTATACAAAAGATGAGGAAGGTTTACTCATTATGTATTTTATTATATATTTTACCTGGAAAACTATTGTGCAAAGAATAAGGAAAGCCTGTTAGGTATTTCGAGGCAAAAAAAACTTCCATAGTGAGCAAACAAAGTTTGTGTCGATGCGATTATATAAAGCAAGGTATTGTTAATAAACACTTGATCAGAATATCAGGAGAAGTGGTAATTGTGCTGTGCTTGTTACATAATTGAACATTTATATAAGACGTCATTGTGTGGTTTTCAGCGTGGCACGATGTCCGTTTGTCTCAGCCATAATGTCAGTATGCTTACAACCCAGGTGCCAACAAGCAATAGTTTTCTGTCATAGAAAGTTGATGTCAATGAAAGCATGGCACCACCATGTGGTGCTTGTGGAGAAGTAAATAGAAAAGCAATTACACCCAACGGTGCACGAACAATACAAGTGGCTACAATTCACTCCAACAGACACAAACAAGCCGCCTGAATAACATGTTGGATATATTACTGACTATTACGTACTATGTACAATATTACTCTGGTGGGGTACCTGAATAGCATCACTAACATATTAGTGAAGATTACATACAACATAAGATACTACACAGTCATATTGGTGACTATTATATACTATATGCGATACTACACAGGTAGGCTACCTGAACAACATCACTAACATATTAGTGAAGATTACATACAACATAAGATACTACACAGTCATATTGGTGACTATTATATACTATATGCGATACTACACAGGTAGGCTACCTGAACAACATCACTAACATATTAGTGAAGATTACATACAACATAAGATACTACACAGTCATATTGGTGACTATTATATACTATATGCGATACTACACAGGTAGGCTACCTGAACAACATCACTAACATATTAGTGAAGATTACATACAACATAAGATACTACACAGTCATATAGGTGACTATTATATACTATATGCGATACTACACAGGTAGGCTACCTGAACAACATCACTAACATATTAGTGAAGATTACATACAACATAAGATACTACACAGTCATATTGGTGACTATTATTATATACTATATGCGATACTACACAGGTAGGCTACCTGAACAACATCACTAACATATTAGTGAAGATTACATACAACATAAGATACTACACAGTCATATAGGTGACTATTATATACTATATGCGATACTACACAGGTAGGCTACCTGAACAACATCACTAACATATTAGTGAAGATTACATACAACATAAGATACTACACAGTCATATTGGTGACTATTATATACTATATGCGATACTACACAGGTAGGCTACCTGAACAACATCACTAACATATTAGTGAAGATTACATACAACATAAGATACTACACAGTCATATTGGTGACTATTATATACTATATGCGATACTACACAGGTAGGCTACCTGAACAACATCACTAACATATTAGTGAAGATTACATACAACATAAGATACTACACAGTCATATAGGTGACTATTATATACTATATGCGATACTACACAGGTAGGCTACCTGAACAACATCACTAACATATTAGTGAAGATTACATACAACATAAGATACTACACAGTCATATAGGTGACTATTATATACTATATGCGATACTACACAGGTAGGCTACCTGAACAACATCACTAACATATTAGTGAAGATTACATACAACATAAGATACTACACAGTCATATTGGTGACTATTATATACTATATGCGATACTACACAGGTAGGCTACCTGAACAACATCACTAACATATTAGTGAAGATTACATACAACATAAGATACTACACAGTCATATTGGTGACTATTATATACTATATGCGATACTACACAGGTAGGCTACCTGAACAACATCACTAACATATTAGTGAAGATTACATACAACATAAGATACTACACAGTCATATAGGTGACTATTATATACTATATGCGATACTACACAGGTAGGCTACCTGAACAACATCACTAACATATTAGTGAAGATTACATACAACATAAGATACTACACAGTCATATAGGTGACTATTATATACTATATGATACTACACAGGTAGGCTACCTGAACAACATCACTAACATATTAGTGAAGATTACATACAACATAAGATACTACACAGTCATATTGGTGACTATTATATACTATATGCGATACTACACAGGTAGGCTACCTGAACAACATCACTAACATATTAGTGAAGATTACATACAACATAAGATACTACACAGTCAGACTATTATATACTATATACAGGTAGGCTACCTGAACAACATCATAACATATTAGTGAAGATTACATACAACATAAGATACTACACAGTCATATTGGTGACTATTATATACTATATGCGATACTACACAGGTAGGCTACCTGAACAACATCACTAACATATTAGTGAAGATTACATACAACATAAGATACTACACAGTCATATTGGTGACTATTATATACTATATGCGATACTACACAGGTAGGCTACCTGAACAACATCACTAACATATTAGTGAAGATTACATACAACATAAGATACTACACAGTCATATTGGTGACTATTATATACTATATGCGATACTACACAGGTAGGCTACCTGAACAACATCACTAACATATTAGTGAAGATTACATACAACATAAGATACTACACAGTCATATTGGTGAATATGATATACTATATGTAGTGAATATGTAGGCTACCTGAATAGCATCACTAACATATTAGTTACCAATTCTGTTTATTACGTACGCTACTGCGCTGGTATGCTGCCTGAAAGACGTCATCTTACACCGAGTTTATGTGCATCTAGAAATGGGAGATTCAAAGTGATTTCACTGACATAATACACTCACGCTACTTGCACGGATTAGAATTCGAGAACGAAGTCTGTCTACGAGGAGCTTCTGTATAGTGAGTCAGAAGTTCAATATGTGGCCTTTCCGCCGCAAAACAGCAAAGGGCAAGATTGATGTGCTGCATCGCACAAAATCGCCATTATCCTGCGCATTGGAGAGGTCTTCACTGATCCAACGACAGACGCTTCTTAATGCTGTAGATCTAAAATCTTGATAAACACTAACAAGTGGATGCGCAAGAAGAGAGAGAAGAAACCTTTCATGTGGAGATCAGTTCCTTGCAGTTAGGATTGGCAGGATAGATACCGATATTTGATACAATGAATATAATGTTGTTGTTTTTGTGAAAGCCATCTATAATATACCTACCGCAAAAAGAAACGTAGCACATAGAAGAATATCATGTACATGAATGTGCGTGTGTGTGCGTCGGCGCCACCATGTTCATTCGGAGGAGATACTGCTTGGTGAGGGATATTTATGACATCCTTGCGAAAAATGATGTGGCTGTTTGTTTATATTCTTCATAATTCTCCATACCATCAGTAGACATAACGTGGAGATATGCTGTCGATAATTTATGAACAAATCACTGTTGGTAATAACAATATACTCGCTCCCATTTTTTATGTAGTTGGTGTCTCAGTTAAAGATGTTTTTCTCCACCCCTCGCATAGTTTCGGGACAGGTAGAAACTATTCCTCACAGACTAAACTTGACATGAAATAGAAAGCTCTTTCATACGTGTAAATAATATTTAGGTAATTATTTGCTATTATTAATCTCAAATATACCACTCATGCCATGCCATGACAGTTTAGTTACAATATAATCTGATTTATATTCGGATGATTCTTAACTTGTTTTGAGTAGAGCATGTTGACGTTTATAAGTACCCGAACATTGTTAGTACATTTGTACCAAACGTGCGCCATGCTATTACCTTATGTCTTCGTTTTTGGACCAATGTGCATATTTATGTAGGCACTGTGTCGATATTGCTACACAGCCTTCTTTGGAGTGAACAAGGAAAGTGTTCACTCAATTTTCGAACGATTTTCACAACGGTCTGTGGGTTACACGGACATTAATCGGGGTCTACTATTAACTTGATCTCGCACTTCAGCGGATAACAATACACAACTCAAAATGTTTATTTTTTTAAAGCCAGTGAAATCACTTAATTCTTTGTCAATTGTGCCTCAATTGTAATTGACATGATTCAGAAGAAATATATGCAAATATGCTGATCTTTCCTACGAAATGCCTACTTGAATACCACCTACAAAGTCATCCGACTCGTCATTGTTCCCGGTGCCTTAGGTTTGGTACCACCCAGCAGAATGACTTTTCAAGTTGCTATCAAGTGTGCGCGTAGCTGATGGTGAGGCTAGTCAGTCAAAACAGCTTGAGAGTTTCCTCTTTGTTGTATTCATGTGTTGTGATTTGTAAAATGTTTTGACAAATCGCTGAATTCCAACCTAAAGAAACACAGCCTAAAGTGGCAGTCAACTGAGTTGC